CAGGCTGACTTTTTGGACTCTCTTTTTTTCCCCAGCAGGGCTCCCAGTGCAGAACTGTTAGGGCTTTGTGTACACCCAGACATCAGTAAATGCTTTCTAAATTTAGCTGTGTGGCAACATCTTGCCTCTCTGCAAGACAAAGCCTCCAGCTGAGCTTGAAGATCAAAGCACATGAGATCTGCTAACTTCCACAGCTGCTGCATCCCCCAGCTTAGTACCAGCTCCACTACCTGCCATTCAGAGCAATCCTTAAAGCTCAAGATACTGGCACTAGCAGTGCCTCTAAATACTCGACTGTCTCAGGTAGCAGCAAGGACAGACGGCTCCATAAAGGAAGGCAAGCGAGGAGCCAAGAGTCACAGCTAGGCAGGCAGTGGCAGCAACCTCAGGAAAGGAGTCAGGAAGTTAGGTCAGCAATTCAAGGTCAGAATCAGGTCTGGAGACAGTAACCGAGATCGGTCACAGTTCAGCGATCACCCCGCAGGTCCCCAGTGATGAGCCAGGTCTGAAGTTAAGCCAGCAAGTCAAGCCAGCGGCTGAGGATGAGGGTGAGAACTGGGGAGGTACAAGACTGGGAGCAAGCGCAAATGCAACGTTGCTGCAGAGCAGCTCAGCCGGGGGCCAAGAACAAGAGCTTCAGGTTTAAAGCCACCCCCAAGTGAAGAAGGGGAAGCCCCCACTGAGGCTCCTTAGCAGCAAGCACCTCCTGAACAAGGGATCTTAGCAGTGAGCTGGCCTCTGACCACCAGCTGAAAGGAGTCTTGACAGCCTGTTACTGCAGGCAAGCTCAGCAGCCATGAACAGCAAATCCTGCATTAGAAAATGAAAAAAAAAAGGAAAAGCCAGGTACTAACCAGGAGATGGTTTTGGGTGCAAAATTCATCTGACCTTCACATGTAAGCTCGTAAGAATCATGGAAAAGAGGAATTTTAAATGCAATCTCTTTTCAGTTGCTTAACTTGGGCTCTACCTTTTCAGGCTTCTGGCCGTTGTGAACTCTATTGTTCCACGATCCTTGTGAATTAATAACGCATGAACTTCAGCATCTATGTTCAGATTCCTCTCCTGGTTCTGGCACTTTAAATTTAGCCATACAAATACTGAGTGCCTTTGTGTGAATCTAGTCCTTATTAGACAAGTAAACTGGAGCCACAAAAAGACACAAGTTGGTTAGTCTCCCCAGCATGCACCAAAGGGGCTAGAACCTATTTAGTGATGAAGCAAAGAGGTCAGCAGCCAGTCATTTCTGTTGTATTTTTAAAAAAAGAAGTTTATTTAATCTTTAAAATTCAAGGATTTTAAAGACATCAGTGAAGTGTTATTAAATATTTTAAACTCTCTGTAAGGAGACATATTATAATATCTGTAATGAAAACCTGTATTCACAAATTTGGATTTTGCAGTCTGAACCTTGAAAATTTAATTAAAGGCTTGCTAAATTCTTTTTCAGGTACTAAAGTGTGGATTTTATTTTAAAAATCCTGTTTTCTAGAAAAAGAAAGCTCTAATAAAAAGTCATTTCGTTTGGCAAATCACCAATCTCATTCATCTCATTGTGTCCAATAAGGTGGAAATGATTACACAAGGTGATAAAAATCCTTGCTCCCTGGTAAATCATCAGAGTTTTCTGCTTGTTTTCTTGAAGTTAGGATTTGATCCCAGTAGTGCAGGGATCAGTCTGTGTTAATGAATTTCGACAGCAATTTGAATTTGATAAAGTTCTATGGGATTACCATGTGATTGTTTCATTCATTGAGGTATGACTGCCAGGCAGAACTCCTCTTTGCCTCTTCACGTATTCTTTCTCATGTTCAGATATGTGCTATGAAACCAGACAAAGCTATTTCTGGCAACTACACAACCTATGCAAGAAAAGAGTTCTGTATCACTTCCACTGAAAAGCTTCCCCTTTCTTATGCACTCTGTACATACTACAGGAGTCAATTGTCAAGGTAACTCAAATCTCCCCAGATCAATGTTCTGACTTATTGGGGCCCCTCCAGCATAGAAGTTTCCTGACCTATCTTGTTACCTGGAGGTCTGTAACAATTTCCCATAAATGTTTTACTACTTCTTTTAGCTACATTTTATGTTTGTCGCATTAGCAAACCCACACATGTAATTTTACTCATAATACCACAACCCCTAACCAGATCACCACATTGCTTCCCATCTTCCAAATTTGCCTCTTTGGTAAATTATATACTCTGGTATTTTAAAATTAAACCATTTAACCAAGAGCCAGTCACGTTTCTAACCTTAAATGTTTACTGTTTTGTTCTGATGCATCACTTCATGTTCCTCACATTTTTACACAGATTCTCTTCATAAAGGAAAGTGAATTTCCTTTCTCTAGGCAATGCTTTCTATCCATATTATTCACTTCAACAACTTAAAAAATTACTTGTCCTTTAAAAGTTGGCTAATCTCTCTTCCATCTTTCACTACCTATCCTTTTGCTAAAACAACACACATAAAACTGAATACTAAAATTACAAGACTACTTCCCTGCTAATTTCTTATACAGATACAGCCTGTCAGTTTTAGATGACTTTGGATCAGCCCCAAACAAAAGAAAATATTCTGGGTAGTATAATCCTGCATGGAACAATGCGATCTGTATATAAAATCACTTACTGAATCACCAGCACGTCTTTCCACTCCTATGAGATCTCCCATCGAAGCAATGCCTGAATTAGTGTAGAGTGATTTGTGGCTTTCCAGTTGTCATTAATTCTTAGGAAATACAATATACAATACAATAGTACTCAGTCTGAGGTTGTAGTCCGCAACGTGTTAGGAAGGGTGCAATTTGCCTGTTGAATGTTCTTTAAAATTGTTTTTGAACAATAATAAGTAGTCCATTATTTCTATAACCCCTCAAAAACATTTCACTTCAGATGAAATATTGCGTCAGTCACACAGACCCATAGAGGAGGAAGGGTAAGGAACTGCGTCTGCAGAGAGTCTGGTCTACAGAACGAACTGCTGAGCTGCAGACAAGGGGTTTTACTCTAGTACTTTGCCATTCGTGTTTCTTTGGCAGAGAGGGAAAGCTCAGGCAAGCCTGACAGCAGGGGTTAGAAGTGACTCGGGCACTCTGGTCCACTGGATTTGGCACTTCACCATCCATCTGACCTGTACAAGCTGCCTTGTTCTAGAAATAGTATTGCTTAGCTATAACACACCGCTAGCTACCTCCTTTCTTGCACCAGAGACAGGAGAGGATGCTGTGACGTACCAGCCCCATCTGAGGATCCGAGAGCCTGGGGACCTACCTTTAGAGCGAGCCAAGGAGCTGCTCGCAGGAAGCCAGCCAGAGAGACTGTGTAATGCCTGCTTCATCAAGGACTTTTGGCAAAATCTATGACAAGTTCAGCTCAGCCAAAAATACTACACCTTCAGACATGCATTGTAGCAGAACTGGAGCACATAGGGAAGTCTTCTGGTGGGTCCCAGGCACCTCCGGCTTCTCAGTAATCTGAGAAGGCTGTGCAGAGGTTTTTTTTTAGATCTATTGCTCTCTTGCATTTACATGTTAATTAGCCTGAACTGCACATTAGGTGCCTAAGAGCTTTTTTCCGCTTTAACTCTTACACGGTTGATTTAAGAAGTAAATAAAAAGATAGGAGCAGGAGGTAAACCTGAAACAAGAATCACTTACAACACATACTGGAGTTAACAAAGCATAGCCATCGTTCAGTATTTAGTAGGCACCAGGACAGCAATTATTTTAAGGAAGGATTTGAAAAAAAATGCCTTAAGTATTTTTATGGCAAACTCCTCCCATGCTCAGGGGTTTTCATGCTTTTAGCTATTACATCTGCAACCACAGCTAACTGTGAAATTAGCAATTTATTTATCCCATGGTACATACACACACAACAGTAAAAGTGAGTAAGGGTCACTAGTGAACACTGTGAGTAAAGGTTAGAACCTTTTTTCCAGATTTTGTCATTCAGTATTTAAACAGATACCTGTGGATTCCTATATTGAAACATTTCCTTGTTCCTTTTTGTGGCTTATATCACTAATACTGTTAACAAGCTGCTGTTATTTCTAAACAACATAATACGAGCTCTGCCAAAATCGCAAGCCAGGACAAAGGAAAGTTGACCTTAAAAATGGCTGCCTGAATTGCAAAGAAGCAGAAGATGCCACCAAGGATAAAAAAGAACAATAAAGGACTATGACTTGTAAGCAGATTTTGATTCTGTAACATTTAGTAAAAATAGGTCTCCTTAGGAATGCATGCACACATTAAGACATTTTTCAAGATTGTATCTTTACAGAAAATACCTTAGGACTTGTAGTCTGTTTCTCATATTGTGTCCTATTCTTAAGACTATATAAACACAAAGGTAAAAATATCTCTTATGGAAATTAACTATTTCTGATTATTTAGCCACAGATTTGAAAGAAGATTAAATAGGATATAAAGTTGTTGCTAATCTTATTTGGAAGGTACAATTGATAAACAAAAAAGCACACCGAAGGCATGTTAATAGTGATAAAATTACCTAGACCACTCTGTGTACATAATTACCGATAATTTAGATTTATCCATGTGAAATGAAGACATAATTATGCATTATTCTATTTTATATTTCGACACTTGTGTAAAATAGAAATATTAGTTTACTGAACAATGAACATAAAGATGTTCCTAAGACAAGTGGAATCCGACACACCAGAAAAAAATTATATTTTATCTCCCTCATTCATCCAAAATCAATTAAATGTAATAATCACCACTCTTTCTTCGTGATTTTGTGTGGAGTTGAAGGTTATAAGTAGATAAGAACTGAAATTTTCTTGCAAAATCAACAGCAGTAATACCTGGAGACAATCTGATGTGTGCGCAATACTTTCCAGAAGTTTCGTAATTGCCTCTTTCCTTTTCTAGTCATTTCTTTAAGGCTGGAATTTTTTTTAAAATGTGCATTTGAATTAAACTAAGACTATCACTATCATACACAAAAAATGACAACCCGAGTTACCTGTACGGCTGTGAGGATATTGGCTAATGCCTGGCCATATGTATCATGACAGTGAACAGCAAGAGCACTCAGAGGAATTTCTTTCATAACAGCTTCCAGCATTCTTTTCATACTTCCAGGAGTCCCCACACCAATTGTGTCCCCCAGAGAGATTTCATAACAGCCCATACTGTAGAGCCGCTTAGATACCTGATTGGAAACAGAGAAACATGAAGAGGTCAAGATAAAAGAATATAAAATACAGTCAAGACCACACATTACAAAAGACACACTTCTGTACAGGTTTCAGGTTTTGGCCCACTGAGGTGGACCTATGTATCAGAAACTCTCTATTCATTCTTGAAAACTGTCACCCAAGAAAAGCGTCCCATAGATCCTGTTATTTTAAATTTACAGTTCTGCTTCTGTATGTGGAATAATCCAGCCAAATACATCAAAAACTTGTTTTTTGACTCTCCTACAGAATCCAAATAAGTACGATTGTACGCTATGAATTAAGTTTCTGTCAAGGCCTTTCCCAGCATTTTCTTCTCTCTGGGGATTTCCCAGCTGTTTGGTTTTCTCTGTACTGTTCAGCTTACAAGTTGTGCAGGGTAGACCTGCCCTTTTGTTTGCTTATTACACGGAGCTAAGCACATGGCTGAACTAAGACAATAAATAATTAACAAGAAGCCCGATTTTGCTTTGTCTTGGCACTGAAAACATCAATGAAAACTGCAGTTTTAACACATTCATTTTGCTTGCTTTTCATGAAATTAAACATTAAAATACTAACAAAGGAAAACTGTAACTTAATTAACATTCTAGTCTTTAAGATTTAAAATTTTTATTAATACCAAATAAAGCCCATACAAATAGTTCTTACTTAGGTAAGCAGAGCCCTAAATGTTTCTGGAATTATGTCTTTGAGCAGTTCTTTCTATGAGTACGAGATCTGAGATCTGGCCCGATAATGTTTGTATGGAGAGAGACATATACTAGGAAGCACAAAATTGCGGTTGCACCAAAACTACTGCTTTAGAAATTGAATGCAGGAACTTTCTACCTTAGATGTGCTGAAATTATTTGGAAAAGCTTTCACCTTTTCAGTTGCTGAGTATGTTTGTCCCCTTTAGCATTCCTCACTGTGTATCAACGATTCCAAAAGGCCACTCCATGGGAACAGAATCCCAGTCTGGAAATTAACTGTTTAGAAAGGAAAAAATACGACCTTTTTCCAAGACATCTTCAGTTGCACTGCACTCTGCTGTTAAAGCAATTCCAGGACTTCATCAGTGGGATTGCTGTGAATGTGTCTGAGGAAGCTGACAAAGTGCTGCACCAGCAGTCTCGGAAGTGCTGGATTAATATTGCTGTTCACTTAATTCAAAGCACAGCTGAAAAAGAACTTCAAGTAGTCTGAATCACCCTGCTTAAAGCTTGGAAGTGCTATGACTATTGCAAAGGTAGTAAAACTCTTTTTGCTTTAAAGCCAAAGAGCCCCCAGTTCGCATCAACATAAATTCAATGCACACTTTAAGAAAGGGATATTTACCAGATTGCAAAAAGGGATCCTATCTTGCAGCATATTTTTATGTCATCAACACACTGCAGCTGTCTTAATGGGACTACTGTTGTAAGAAAAAAAAGGATCATCTGCAGTTAGTGGTGGATTTCCTCTAGTTAATCCTCAAACCTCAGTTTTTATTTAAGCTCAGGGTAAAGGAAGCAGACTGCATTTTTTTGTCACGTTCTTATTAATTCATGATTCAAAGCTTTTCGAGATGAGCATTTTAGTGATGACAAAGAGACTACATAAACTGCTAGAAATCATATTGCATTCACTTCTTTCCCGTCTCCAGTCCTTAGCTCTTTCAGCTTTCTGAAAATAAAAGTTCTGAAAGATGAAAGAAGAGAGGGGGATACTCTGCTAACAAGCCGAGCATCATCACTGACTTGTCATGACCTAACCTTAAACTGACCCTTAAAAAGAGATCTATATTTAATTTCCAGAAGAATGTGCATGCTTGGAAGTTGAATGGGAGTTTTTCATAGTGGATTTTCTATCCTACCATAGTAGGAGGCAGCCTGTTAGTTACAGTTTTGTAAGTTTTCAATGTGGATTTTCAGGAGGAGGGTGGGGGAGAACACACCATTTTGTCAATGTAATCAGCATGTGATAGCGAGCTTGCAGCTTTGTTGATTGAACAGGGTTGTGTTCTGCACCACTGAGCAGTTTTACTATGCATGAGTCTTGTGCTGCTCCCCTTGGGAGCACTGCCCTGACGCCAAGCATTGATCAAAATGGGAGCTGGTGACCCAGCACTGAAATCCCTTAAGCATGTGAACAATCCTACTGCTCAAACTACACCCTTAAATTGAATACAAAAGGTCATAATCCAGTTACAGATGATTTTAAGAGAATAACAACATAAAAGCACACTGCAGTCTTGTGGTGTAAGGGAAACTTTGTAATAATCTAACAATATTCCAACAAGAATAGGTACGTTTTCTGTAGCCTGATCAGCCTGTATGCTGGATAATACTTTAATGCATTTCTTGACCTAGGTTAACAGGAAGCTAAGGAGAGAAAGAAGCAGGCATAAAATTAAAAAAAGCAAAGTATATGCCTGGAAAACAGTGGACAGCACAACTGCCTTCAAGGATGTTACATGGTGCTTCCAAAACTTTCAAGCCTTTTTTGCCCAAGGTTGAAATTCACAAACCACAGGATGATAAATGGTTAAAAAGTGACTCTATTTCAAGAAGCAGCAGAGTGATAAAAAAGGACTATTCAGTTTATTTTAATAGATGAGAAATGTTGGGTTTATTTTAAATAAAGAACCATATGGATGTACCAGATGGATTCTAGAAGTCTGAAGGCATTTGAAGTTTGCACTCACTAGGTATCTCTGTGTAGAACAGTTAGGTACCTAGTAAGCCAAGCAATGCATGTCGTCTAGTTAATAAGCTATCTCTCCTAATTGCTTTTGCTTCAGCTAAAAAATCTTTTGCTCAAAATAAAATATCTAGTCGCTGTCATTGACCGTGGAAGAAAGTCTAAACCTTTCAATCATAGCTGCCCATTGCAGTGAACAGTCAAGGGAGCCACACACTGCCATCCCAAGAGAGATGATGACCAGAGCAGCTCTCTGAAAGGGTTTAGCAACATGGCCAGGAATTCTGGTAATTCTGATTCAGCAAAGGATAAGTGCATGTGTTTATGTAAAATCCATTAACAGCTAATCAGACGCTACTATAGAAACATCAGTGCTTGCTGAATCAGGGCCTCAATAACTTTAATGAGGTAGCCTTTATTCTTAAACACATACACAATGGTGCACAGGTACACAAGAAGACACTTCTTAGGATGAAGACAGAAAATAAAATGGCTATGTGAATCAAAGTTTGCAGGTTTGGAATATTAAAGAGCAGTCCCACTGGCAAACTGAAAAGGAGCTCTTCTGCGGAAGGAGAGTAATTAATTTTAAAAAATGAGCAACACATGGAAAGAAGCCTGTTGGGGAACATGATATTGCAGTAAGCAATTTACCAACAGCACAGCTGAATCTGTCATCACTGCTCTAACTAAAGCTGTGTCACTTCTAACTTTCACTTCATATTAAACCCCATTCATTTAGAAATATGGAGTACCTTCCAATTTAGGTATTTTTTTCAAAGCTGTGAGTATATGCGGCTGCTGTGGAAGAATTACCATCACAAGTTCCATCTGGAATGTGTACCAGAAGGTGGTGCAGGAGAACAGGACCCGAAAGCACACATGCAGAACAGAACATATCAGGCAAATGTTGACTAGCTGCTAGTGCTACAAAGAAGAAGAAAAAAAAGTGGTCTGGAAATTCTGCTAGATCACCAAAAATAGGTGTTTAAGTGTAACAGAGAAGACAAGTCCCTCTACAGGAGGAAAGCCAGCTTGTACTGTCCTGTGCTGCTTGAATTCTCTCTCCGCTTCCACCTCTACTGTCTATTTCAGGTTTGATACCCGCTTTGCCCTCCTCCAAAATTTAACACCTGTGTTTCACTAATCTCTGATGGAAAAAATAGGCTGGACTAAGACATCTTCTTCCTTCTTCTTTATCCTATATGGGAAAAGTGGGCAGGGAGGGAAGGTGCAGCTTATTCCACCATAGCAGCAGAGCAAGTAGGAAATCATGTTGGGGGTGAGTTTTGATTCGTGTGTCAATGACATGACAATTGCCAGAAGCAAAGTGTTGTAGCAGTGGCCCTAATGGGTGACAGAGCAGTATGCTCATGCCAGCGCAAAGTGGATTTAATAGCAGATTCCCTTCACAAGAAGTTGTGCTGGAAACCATCTCGTACCACATGGTCCACTGACACATGTGCTTGAGTCTATTTCCTTAAGCATTTCCTTACCTTCTTGTTGAAGGAATTTTTTTCTCATGACTGGAAATAATCAAAACACTTTATTTTCCTTAGATGTGACTGCATACAGTTGAGTAAAATAGTGAGGTTATGCACCCAGTTCTACAATTAGCTATGTTTTGTGTTTGTTTTCCTGAAATGTTATCCATTAAAGATCTTATTAGGACTAAAGTGAGAACACTACTCATAGACATTTTTGAATTTTTTTTTTTGATTCATTAAAAAGACGAGCCAGAAGTTCACTCTTACTTCTGCCACTTTAGCTGGTACGATGTTTCCTTCATACGGGCATCCCAATGCACATGACACATACCTACAATAAAAAAAACAACACACAAAGATGCTTCTGTTTTACAGTGCGTATCTGTATTCATCTCTGTTACATTAAAATAAAAGTTAAATATAATTTTGAATATTTAAGACAGTCAATGTAGAAAAAATATTTGAATGGAAAGTTAAAATTACATCAGATGAAAATAGCAGGTTTATCAATTTTCTTTTTAAATCACAGAGCAGAGATTTGTAGCTTTATTTATGCTCAATGTATGTCACAAATTATAAAGGACTGGCAATGCAGCCAAGCTAATGCTGCTGTAGGACACTTCAGTTTTTCTTGGTATTTGCTTCTGAAGTTGTAAGAGCCAGCTCAAGTTTTGCCTTGCCTGGCCCACACAAAGTATTCAGAGGAAAATATCACTTTCTTTCTTGTGCCAGCTACCCAGATCATAGAAAACAACACATGGACACAAGCAACTTATAACAACCCCACCATCTCGTAAGTCATTAGAATTGTGGTGAATGGGGTAGCTTTCACCCTCTATCTCTGTACTGGCATTTCTGTCCCACTGCCCCAGAAGAATTATAGCTCTATTGTAAGCTGTAGTTTAGGTATGCCTGGATGAAGAAGAAACTGAGAAACCATACTGTGTCTCTTGGCAGCTATTGGCTCCACAAAGCACAAAAACTGAAGGCCACAACTGAGCCTTCAATGTTCAGTCTTAATGCTGTGTTATGTAGAATTTGGTTTAGATTTCCTTTTTTAAATGACAATTAAAAGCCATGCAATTCCAATTAAACTTCTAATTGTTTATCTTAAATTGATTAGGAATAGGATTAAACTAACCAGGAACAGCCATTCAAAACCAAAACAAGTGTGGCTATACAGGGGTTTACAACAGATTCAGAGGCAGGCAGAGCCCCAGTCCCAGTGGGAGGTTGCTCAACTGCTTAATAGAAGAACAAGAGCCTTCATCGATCCCCCTTCATTCCCTTTCCCTCAACACTGAAGGATATAATGCAAAATTATACACTGTATAATGGAAACAGGATTGAACAGATGCCAGTTTGCATGTAGTCAAGGTCCGTAGGGAAAAGGATGTATTGTTTCTTTGCAGTTGAAGGAGAAACTGATTGATAGAATGTGAAAACAGGATGAATAACAGGCAAAACAAATTATGAAAAAAAGTCAACACTTTAATGCATAGAACATATTCCGTCCCTTATATAAAGGTACTGTGTTGGCACACTGGAAGTAGCAGTAAGAATGAAGCAAACTTTGAACCTAAAAAGAACTTGATTAGCCCTGACAAAGAAATGGAAATGAATTTTGTTTCCACAAAAGTTGTTGGGTCCGTTACATCCTGCTCATAATTTTAGTCCAGATGCCTACTAGGCATGATTTCAATTATCTGTACATTATTATGAAAACCAGGTTTTTGAAACTTGGCCATAGATTTCATTACATATCAGCCCCAATTTAGATGTCACCATTTAAATTATAAAATTCTAAATTTTCTTATCTACATAAAAGATAAAAAAGTAGCTACTGCTAACAGTTAAACACTGCTCTGCTTTTCAGTGACACATAACTCAAAAACAATTCAGGATAATTTCCTTAACTTTTTTTATGCATACACAGTTTTTCAAATGAAACCAAGCATGAAAAATTTCAGACCCAAAGAATTGCTTTTTACATAATACCACAGTGCCTAGAGCTAGTGAACACACAGATTTTTACTGAAATTATTTCACAACTTCAGCCACAGCACTTCATTATGAAGTGAGTAACAATACTAAATACAAAGTAAATGCAAAACATACAGTATGTATTTGCACATGTTCCCTTTAATGACATATATCTTACGTATTCCGAACAGCTACATATGTTAGATCAAGAAGACTTGCATTTGGTAGTGATAATGTGGCATGAATGACATCTGGAAAGGAGTAGGGCAAACAAAAGTAAAAGCAGGCCAGAAGGTATCTAGAGAACAAGGGAATACTCCCTGTGGTTCACACCACTGAGCAGAAACTCGCCTGAGCTCACATAATTCAGCTGGGCCTGCTGCGGTATGAAAGTATGCGGTGACCCGAGGAATCTGCCTACTACAATGTACAAATCTGTTTGAGATTATGAACTCTCTGCATGCTTACACCATTGCGACTAGACTGACATTTTAAACAAGGAAAATATGATAGATATAATCTATCCAGGCATCTGATATTCAATATTAAACTGGAGAAAATAGGGATTACTGAAAGAATTTGACAGGTAAAGAACTTCTTACCAGAGAGAGAACAAAGTCCTGTAGAGAATGAAAGAACTGTTTTCCAGTAGAGTTCATCAAGGATGAGTTTGGCAGAATTTTATCTAATATTTTCATTTAATGAACTGGCATAAAAGCAGAGATGTGGTGATAACATTAAACTTCTTGGCAGTGTCAATACAAAAAAAAAAAAGGACTGGGATTCCATGGAGAAAGGACAGCAGCAAAAGAAATGGGACTCAGTTGATGGCAATAACAAAGAAAGCGAAATGCTTAAAATGAGGCTGTAAAAGGGTGAATTGCACTCCAAACATCTATCAGGATAAGTATTTTAAATAGAGGACATAAAATATGAATTCCATTTGACAAGGTCTTGCTATATTCATATTGGAAATAAGAGTTACAATTTGAGTCACTTGCAGAAAAGGTAATGCAAGCTGGAGCAGATGCAAGCATGGGCTGAGTGCAGATAGCAGGGGTACTGAGAGCCTGGCATACGGAAGGAGAAAATATGCATGTTTATGTGAAAGAGGGAAAATAATCATGTGTATCTGCTCTGAGCATTTGCCAGGACTTCTAGACTTAAGGCAGCGCCGGGTGGGATGCTTTGTAATTGCATTTGTGTGGTTCCAAATTAATGAGCTTAAGTGAGAGGAAGTAGGTTGCAATAGGAAGGTAGATCTGTTATCTACAGATACATTTGGCTGTTAGGTTTTCTTTTTTGTGCATGAAATAACCCGTAAGGCATGAAAAGGACAAGAGAATCCAGCCAAAGCAGAGCCCCAAGACCTCCCCCCACACCCTTCCAAAATGGGAGACAACTTTGAAGAATATGCTGAAGAACTGCTTAGAAAGGAGAAAATTGACAAGACGGAGCCACAGAAAGCAACAAAAGACACAAGTTTAGAGAAGTGTCATCAACTGCAGCAAACACTACTGACAAGAAGAATGAGGATAGACTACTGTTTCTGAGATCTTGTCATCAGGGAGTTTGGTGAGAGCTGTTGCAGTTGCAAGCAAGGAACAGAAGCCAAAGTGTAGGAGTTACGGGAGGGAGTCACAGAAGAGGGTCTCCAGACAGTAATTATAAACAGCGCCTTCAATGAGCTTAGGAATGAAGAAGAGATAGGCGATGAGATACGATATGAAGAACCAAGTAGGGTCAAAGGTGCAATATTTAAGAGGCAAATGCTTGCTTATATTGCAGTGGAAAAGAGCCAGAGGAGAGTGAGAGGTTAAGAAAGAGAATAAGGGAGGAGAGAAATAAGAGGAAGAACAGAACATGGGGTCACTGGGGCAAGTGGAAGGGGTACAGATGGAAAGTAGACAAGAAACTCCTGCTGCTCTGACAGCACTAGGGGAGGGGAGGGAGAGGAGGGTGACAGAAGAAAGAGCATACTGTATCTATTTTTCCTTAGTAGAAAAAGCAAGAACCTACGTGAAGAAAAGCAGCAGAGGAAAAAAGAGGGAAGAGTTACAGAGGCAACTGGGATTTAATTTGGGGATTCAATTAAGTTGGAGAATACCGCTGTTTTCTAAAAAGATGGCAGGACTGAAAGCAAAAAAGACTTTGTCATGAAAAAGACTGTCTTGGTCTCAAGATATTCACCAGAGACACTCCACAGTGTGAGAGCAGAAGCAAATATCTGGGAGTTCACAAAGCAGACTCTGCAATGGAAGTGTTTAATTCTAAGTATGTGCTTAAATCTTTGTTGAATCAAGGCCAGACGTTTTAGTAGCTTAACTACATCTTTAGCACGCAATCAAGAAAAGAGCCCATGCAGCCAGAGGTGGAAAGAAGGACTGCAATAAGTGAACGTGAAATACAGCTGCTTTAGGAACGCATGGGTAAACGCTGTTTTGCTCACTCATGTTCTGTGAAATCTGAATTCCTCTCATTAATAAAAAGTGAGAAAAAGAAGTTCTCTACTTCTTTCACCTGGCAGATATTATCCAGTCTCTTGCCTGTTCTACAGTTTCACTGCAGGTGAGTATCATTTGGTCTTCTCCTAAATTGTTTTCTATGCACACAAAAACAATTAACAAAATAAATAAACCCCAGCAAGTTTATTGTGTAATATTTTGGACAAAAAATGCCGAACAGCCTCTGGGGATGGGGAGGGAGAAGGAAGAGGAGGAGAGGTTTCAGTTTCTTCCAGTAAGCCAAAACCAAACTGCAATGTTCCACAAATGGTATAGACAGTATATGGTCCCCACGATCAAGGTCACTAGGAATGGTGAGAACCACCACCCCAGCCCAAAGATTGTGAAGTGCAGGATATAAAACCACAAACAGGGTAAATGAGCAAACTTTTCATAACCGAAGTGTGTTAAAAGGAAAATGAATCCAAGCAGAAACTGAACTCCATGTTGTAATCAGCCCTTTGTCAGCTTGTTTCAGCAAGAGTTCCAGAGCCAGATCCACAGCTGCTACCACAGCTGGAAGCATGGAGCCTCCTGAGAAGCCAGTTGCAGACTCAGATGCTGCTGTTTCCTGTTTATTATTATAGTGTAAGTTCGCATATAATTTACCATGTTCACTGCAGATGTATTTGTTTTTATTGGGTATTCGTGCTAAAATGTATATGTCTATCATTTGGTGAATTCATAATATTAAGTTGATATATATTCTCTCTCTTTGCAAAGGAAGCCATTTGTTAAAAGCAGGCAATCTTTACTGTAAGGAAAGGGGAAAATACAAAGAAGACAAGAGCGAAAGGAGACTCTTCCAGAAACAGGATCTCCAAGCCCAAAATGTGTAAATAAG